GTTCCCCGAAATAAAGTACTTGGAGTTTGAGAAAAAATATCGTAATAAAACACAACATTTGCAAACCAAACAACACAGAAAMYTGTATACAAAGCCCAGTGAATCACAAACCAAGTCTTGAATGCGTCTGCTGTAGCAAATATCTTCYTGCAAACCTTTTGATGAAATTTGATGATGTCATCAAGGTCGTCTGACGTTGTGATGCCCTGTTCGAGGCGTGACGTCATAGTTTCTAATGATGACGTGTAGGCCCCAAATACCCAACATGTCAGGAGGCTGGCCCAGAGAGAAATGGAGTAAATTGTGGATGACACCAGGTAGGGAGGAATGCCTGCAAGATTGCTGATAATATGCCACAAGGTACTTGACAGCAAGGCGAAGAAAAACAGAAAAATCGTGCAGTTGACCTTCAGCCATTGTTCAGGTTTCACAAGTATTTTTATGTGACTTTGGCGAATAGTATTTTCGTCTTTCCGAGTGGACATCCAAACGCTCCACAGGAATGCTAAATGAGATACGGGTTGCGCTAATTTCAATACAAAATCCAGTAAATCTTTCTTGGTAATGCGAACTTGCAAWCCRTGGATATGRACAGCTGAGGAAGTCATGTTCCCAGTTTCATTCCCGCAGAACCAGCTATCRAAAGAATATAATTGCAATCGTGGGCAAACAATCCCATAAGCCACAGACTGAATAAGATTGTAAATATCAGGAATGAGGAAAACCAAGGCAAACGCCACACGCGGAAATCTGCGTCGATCGGCCCACAGTCCGACTAAAACGGTTGCAAACCCCATCAGCAAAGAGGAAGACCTCATGAAAGTTTTCACGATTCGAAGTGGAGATCCACGTACCTCATATCTTGGAATAGATCCGGTAGTCCCGATTTGTACGGATTMTTCATTTTCAGGGAAAGTTGTGAGTTCTCCTTTAAATTCGTCAAGTCGATCCATTTGTGATTTTAGATATAGAAAAATTAATGTGTAGATCTCATGATTTCTTGCACCCTAATGATCAGTGAACAACAATGTCATCGAGAGATGTAACGAAAGCTACTTATTGCAACAAATGGCACCTTTCGCAAGTGACGTACTTCCAGTTACGAAAAGTTGGCCGTCTTCGCTTGTGACTCCGTCTTGGCACTGAAAACTCGTCTCCTCTCAAATCCTTTAGAAAACTGACTCAGTATTTTTATACGCGGCCGACAAATGTGATGTTCAAAGTTTTATATACGCTGAATATAAAGTCAAAAATCTTTGTTGTCACTAATTTATTGATTATTCACTTTCGAGAGAAGTTCAGCACCTTACCAAAACTATGAAAATTGGTATCGAAAGGTCGTGAAATCTAGACAGTCTGATGGCGTAATAAGAACTTTTTTTCGTTAATTAAAGATCTTCAGACCCACTCCTGTTATGGCCAAAAGAGTTGAAAAGAAAACAGACATCGAACCAAATGTAAGACTTCCAACTTTATAACCACAGTTTGCATAACTGGCATACTTTAGGAACACATGCAACTGTTGCCTTTGACGAAATGGATGGGTCTCATTCCATTCATATTTGTATTTCATGTTGAAGTCTGTAAGCATTTGCTGGCACTTGGCTGTCACTGAGGCTGCGCAGTAACACGGGTATATGAACACGTAGACATAGATAAAGAGGTATATAGTGCCACTTAGGAAAGCGCTCGCTGACTGTAACAGAATATGGTAATAAAACACAACATTTGCCGCCCAGACAACACACAGAGCCGTATACAATGCCCAGTGAATTATAAACCAAACCTTGAAAGCATCAGAAGTTGCAGATATAGTCTTGCAAAGTTTTTGATGAAGTGCGATGATCTCATCAAAGTCATCTGATGTTGTGACGTCACTTTCCATGCGTGACGTCAGAATTTCTAATGATGACGTGTAGGCCCCAAATATCCAACATGTCAACAGGCTGGCCCATAGTGGAATGGGGTAAATTATGGATGAAACTAGATAGGGAGTAGAGCCTGTGATATTTTCGATGATAAGCCATAAGGTGCTTGACACCATTGCGAAGATAAATAGAAAAATCGTGCAATTGAGCTTGAGCCACTGCTCAGGTTTTACTAGCAGGCAAATGTGACTTTGGCGAATAACTTCGTCTTTCTTAGAAGGTATCCAGACGCTCCACAAGAACGCTAAATGAGATACAGGTTGCGCCAATTTCAGTACGAAATCCAGCAAATCTCGTTTGTTTATGCGAAACTGCAAACCATCAATAACATCTGAAGAAGATATGTTCCGAGTTCCATTCCCGCAAAACCAGCTATCCAAATTGTTTTGCAACTGTGGACAAACAAATCCATAGGCCACAGACTGAATGAGGTTATAAGTCTCTGGAAAGAGGAATATCAAAGCTAAGAGCACATGACATCGAGGTCGATCTGCCCACAGTCCAAACATCGATGCAAATCCTTTCAGCAACGATGAAGAACTCATGAATCTTTTCACGCTTCGTAGAGGTGATCCACATACCTCGTACCTTGACATTGATCCGACGTTTATAAATTCTACAGCTTCTTTTTCAGGGAACTTCTTGAGTTCTTCTTTAGCTTGGTTCATACCGTGACCTCTCGAGACCGGAAATGAATGTGTAATTCCCATAATTCAAAGCGACACTCGATAACAACGAGGAATGTATACAAAATGGCGGAAAACTTGGGAACAGAGTTTGGAAAGCTGAACCATTGCTTTGACAATGTGGAAAAATATTTCCGGGACAACTTTAATTTATAAAAGTTTTTAAAGCCAAGCTCTACCAAGAATGACCAATTATGGAGAAAAGCTACACCGATTGTATCTCTAATGGCCACTCTCTGTTTGCCTTGCACAAATTTGAATTTCACCAAGAGTAAACCGAACTTGCTAAAGTTTTCTTGAGATTTTGTCTGGTTTTCACCTTCAAGTGAACTTCAGCTTGCTTTAATGGACGGCTAGACAAGACTGCATTTGAATCTGTGGTAAAGGAAATTGATACARAAAGTAGGCGACGTATCTTGACGACATTTGCATCGAAAAAACGGAACACCCGGCAAAATTATATTTGAAACAATTTGYTTGCATTGAAGAAACAGTTGAGAAAGCTCTAAAGCGTTAATTAAAGAATTATTGTCAATTTGACAAAAGCTAGCACAATTTAGCACTAAAGGAAGTTTKAAAAGTTGAAAAAAAATTGTGCACTGTGTATAAACTTTAAATCCAAAATGCCACGACCTGCTTACGACTATTTAGAATCAAATGGACCAGAAGTAGAAGGAGAGGACGGTGAAGCATCGGAGGTTGATATTTCTTCAAAAAGTTCTGGAATTACAAGGTATACAGCATTTGAAATAAACCATCATTGTGGTACTAATTAGTAATCAATTATATGATAATCATTAAAGAATCTCCTACACWGTTCCCCATGCATTGATGTTTCTATCATTGCATGATACAAGGCAATGTTTTAATGCCTTTTTACACAATGTGACTTGACACGTGCTACTTTACACACAAGACAGAATCATACTGTSTTATAATGGCTGAGTAACTAGAAGTCTGAGACCTATGAATTGTCTCAAGCTTTTTAACCTACTCAAAATCCTTTGACATGTCGTTGGGATATGACACAAGHGCAGTCAATATCATACCCAGACTCAATCTCCTTTTTAAAATAAGCTAAAAAAAGTTAACGCAATTTCTGTTCTGCAGTTGCTATTTGATTAAAAAGAATGACATGATAAGCTTTATTATTCTTTTTCTATTAACTAGTTACAGTATTATAAAATGGGTTGGAGGAAGAAAAAAGGTTCCTATTGTATCATTTTCACCTCAAGTTTTACTTTTGGGTCTACAACCAGAAGAACGTCAAATTGCAGGTATGTGGAATTGGAAAAAAGTTGTGCAGTTGTCTGTATGATGTTTTACYAATATAGCAATATTGGTTTTGATATTCAGAGAGATATCATCTTGCATACAAGTTTGTCAAAACTGAGTGTAAATTGGTGAGGAGTATCTTAAACTCACACTGTTTTAGAGAGGTAAGCCTTTTGGAGTGTTTTTAACTTTCCTTTTCAATGAATAATTTGAGTTTCAAGACTGCATTAATATTATATAAGAATGTAAAACAACGTTGTATGACCACAGAGCTATTAGATCGGTAACGTTGGAAGAGTTAAGGGAAGGATTGAGCTTGAGGGCAAGTAGGAGAAGAGAATATACTGTCTTTTTTACTTGGCTTCTCTTTTTTTTGTAAGGTCCATCCAAATAGCCCTAATTTCAACCTGATGTGGACTGGCTCACACTTGAAACCTCATACTTTGAGAGGTATGCAGGACTTTCAGAAGATTAACCATTTCCCAAGGTAGGATTATCATGGTAAAAACCTGATTTGTCTGAGAGGCAGTTTCATGATTTGTAGGAGAACTTAATATTCTTATTTGCTGTCATTGATTTTCAGGTCATATGAATTGACAAGAAAGGATCGATTATACAAAAATATACAACGAATGCAACACCAAAAAGTACTCTTTTYAATGGAAACCTCATTTCATTTTCACTTTCAATTTGCTGTGTCATCCATGATAAGAAGGACCATTTATTATCACATTGTTAGCCTGCGTAGCCAGGCGTTACTAGCTGCTCCGAGCGCGTTTCTCRGAGCTGCATGGAATGCCTGGCTATGCWGGCTWTCACATTATCAAATTCATKATTATTTTCAGCAATTATTATTAATATACAGTAATAATTACTATTGTCTTTTCAAGGGATACAAGCATTTTGATTTCATTCCTCATAGTTACGTTTTACCAGAAGAGTACAATGAGTTTTACTGTGAGTATTACAACTGCGTTAATGATATTCATTGTCTAATGAGAGGGACTTAACACAGGGTTTTTTGGATGGGCAAATTTATCTGTTCTTCAAGCAAAACCTGTGATAAAATATTAAAATTTCAACTATTGTGGCTTCGGACACAGTTCAATATTTGATTTTCTTAATATTTGTGAATTGCTAAACACATAAAACTGAAATTTGGAATTTAGTATAAACTGGAGGATTTAGATGATATTGGCTGTGATATCATACTTAAAATAATCCTAAAATTTCTATTATCACTGACTGTAATTCCAATATTGTGGAAATTTTGCAGCTGCATTTATGAAAGACAAAGGTCCATGGATTGTAAAACCTGTTGCWTCTTCTAGAGGAAGAGGTATCTACCTAATAAACCATGTAAGTAATGACGTATAATATCAACCTGTTAAACAATAATGGGCCTCTTGAACAAAAAGACAGTGGCCACAGTATATACTCACTAGAGTCAATTTGGTATGAGTGGGAAACGGACGGTACTGTACTGTAACCGTTATCGTACTGTAACCAAATTCTAGTGTCTCATTGCTTCACAAAAATTGTGCAGACCAGGTCCGGTAACTGTGCGGTAACCGTGCCGTAATTTCTACCGTTCGTTTCCCACTCATACGGAATTGACTCTAAATTGATTTGCTCTTATCTACAATTATGGATTTTATCAGTTGATCTTTTCAATAGTGCATATCTCATTCAATTTTACATTATATGACTGCCATGTGGAGGTGAAAGAGGTCTAAATATCTAATTAATATGCCTTCATTTCTGGAAAATCTTAGCCAAGCCAAGTTCCGCTGGATGAAAACCTTCTGATATGTAAATACATTGCCAACCCTCTTCTTATAGATGGTAGGTTTTCCTCTACATATTTATCTTTGAAAACTATTTAGTTCTAAGTTATAAAAGAATGCAAATTAGTATTTTGAAACAGACAATATGCAGACAATATGTAGACACTATTGCTCTGTTGGGCTTCCTGTGTGTTCATGATGACATCATAGCAACAGCAACTACAATGCTTTGCTCTCTGTCTTTCATTTTGCAGTCCAGATATGGAATGAAATTCTGAGAATGAAAAAACAATAAAAATGAAATAATATAGTTTGCAGCATGTATGTCAAACACATCATGCTTGTACTCTACACAGATATTGTTAAATAATGTGATATCTTTTTTTGTTTGATAGGGTTTAAATTTGATGTACGACTTTATGTTGGAGTCACATGCTATGACCCTCTTAGGGTCTATTTATATGAGGAGGGTTTAGCAAGGTAATGTACTTTTCATTTCTAAAATATACCCATACCTCCATTCCCCACCATCTGGGCATTTGACTGTTTGAAATATTGGTCAAATTTCCCACTTTGTATGCAAATTGAGAGGAAAAAGTGCCCTACTGGTGAAAAACATTGAAATGCGATATCAACATTTTGCATTTTGTCCACTTAATTTGATTTGTTTTTCTGAGGTTTTTTATTTGATTCCAATGTTATTGATATTTGACTTATAGATTTGCAACTGTGAAATATGATAAAAGTACCAGAAACATTGGTAACACATGCATGCATTTGACAAACTACAGTGTGAACAAGAAAAGTGAGAACTTTGTCAGGTAAGGTTGATTATTGAAGGGTTGAGATGTCTGTGCCATATAGACACCTTTATCAATTTTTTTTTATAACTTACTTATATAGTTGACCTACTTCATGTTTCTTTTCCTTCAAAAGGTGATGGCATCGAAGCTCTCCACTTTGTTAGAATATAATACAAAATTTAATGAACTAAAAGGTCTTTTTGTCAATGACTTACCTACATGTACTAATTGTTTTAAACAGTATTTAATCTTTGAAATGTTTTGTTCAGCTGTCAAGATCCTGAAGTAGAGGATTACGGTAACAAGTGGAGTATGAGCGCAATGTTACGGTACTTGAAAGAAAATAACAAAGACACGGCAGGTAATATGTAATCACTTTTACAATGATGATATTGATGATGTTGATTATTAGCATGATTGCTATCAAAGGCCATCCTTTTTCTCCTCGTCATTATATATAATTGGCTAATTGTTTGTCATTRTTGTTTATTAGCTCTGATGATGAGAATAGAAGATGTAGTGATCAAGACTATTATTGCTGGTGAACTACCCATTGCGTCAGCTTGTAAAATGTTCATGCCACACCCTGGGAACTGCTTTGGTGAGATGACCCCAGTCCATCTCAGATTCCTATCCAGGCAACACTTTTTCAACCTTGGGCTTCCTTTGTAATGGTCATGTTGCCTGTTTGGAAGCCTGTGATGTTTGATGTAGCACATCTTACATTGATGGATATATAATAAATAATATCAATTTTATTTRATAGAAATATATGGATTTGATATTCTAATTGATGAGCGTCTCCGACCATGGTTACTTGAAGTAAACCTTTCTCCATCTTTGGCTTGGTACGTAACTCAATGTTGATGCATAGAATATGATAAAATTGTTAGTTAACTGCKATAAGACTCATAAATAACTGGTCTTTGTTTCTAGCGAAGCACCGTTAGATTTGAAGATCAAGTCTCATCTCATCACAGATATGTTCAATCTCATTGGTAAGAACTGATCAAAAGTGAATTTATAGCTATCATTATAGATAAAAAATAGCCACTCAACGGACTGTATGCCAGTCTCTTTGACAGCCTATCCTTTTGCCGGGCTTCCTGTCCCTTCCAAAAGAAAAGGAAGCCCGAAAAAAGCAGAAGGTGCAAAGGAGATTAACAATGTGTGGCTTAAAGTTCTGGTTGGCAGGTCAAATCTTTATGTAACCATAGTTAACTATGATGTAACCCACTTGAGCTTCGTCATCATAATATCCCTCTTCTCGTCTGTTGTTTTTTTTACCTATCATCAACACAGTTTATCTTCATGCATGATTACTGATTCATAATTATCAATGATTTTTTCCCCTCCAAATAGGTTACGTCGCGCATGACCCTACTGTYCGAAGACAACCATACGGACGTCGTGTTCCTGACTATCCACAGCGTTCAAAATATCAAGTAAGAATTCTATCAGGGTTGTAGCTATTGGAGGGGTGGAGTGGGTGCGAAGACCATCCTTAGATGAYCTTGTAAACTTTTTATACCCTTGTATGTCAAGAACCCTTTTTCTTCTTTCTCATTTTGCAGTGTTCCCTAAACTTTTAAATCCCATTTTTGTAACGCCCTAATTTCAATCGTCATAGAAACAGCGCACGATGTCAGCCGGTCCRGTTCTYAATGGTWCATTACGAGGGACCTCGAATACTAAGCGRAAAACAGACGAAGATCTCACGCTAACTGCCGAAGAGGCGAGRATYGTCCGACAAACTAACGAAGAATATGAAAGGCGTGGTGGTTTTGTTAGGATATTTCCTTCTTCTGAGTCATGGGAACTTTATGGGTACGTAGTTAGTCTTACTTTTGAACCTTGCATTCCTGATTTTCTGTGCTGTTTGGTTGCGGTGTAAGACGGTAATGCTGTTATTCTTTTTAGGTCTTTGTTGGAACATCGGACCACGCACAACCAGATGCTTCACTCCAAACTGTACCCTGGAAAGTACGTACACCGCAGTAATATACAACAACGTTTTTGTGATGTATATCATTCTATTATGTCATTTTGTGTATAGGAAAGCAAGTCTACATCGTCCAACTACAGCAAGTTTGTCGTCTGCAACGGCAAGAGCAAGGTGAGAATTGCCGTTTTTTTGATTATCATTTAATGCCCCCAAGAAATACCCGTCTGTCTGTCTGTTCATGCTCGTGCTATCAATCAGTCAATGTCTAATCATTTTTCTAGAACCTTGACTACGTACGGTTCTCAACAAAGCGTGGCCACTGCTCATTCAGAGGTAGATATCTAMAGTCTACAGYGCTTGGGTGATTGTGTTATTGATATTGCAATTTTGTTTTAAAGCCGTCCATTGCAGGCCAAGAGGAACTAAGCATTACATGGCGTATCTCTTGCTACGAAAGAAAGTTGGATAGTTGGGTACGTAACCAGTGTGGCGCGGGCTCCTGAGAGGAGTGGGACTGGTGGCCAATCCTTTCCACACACCCTTTCCATTCCATTCCCTCACATTGTGACAAAAACGCATTTTTCACTTTTTAATATTCATTTTTCACTTTTTAATATTCATTTACATGGTTTTGTATTGTCAGAGTCCTTCAATTTTACAAGCAAAGAGTAAAGAAAGTCTTGACACCAGAGGCACAGGTAATCTCATACAAAACGTCCATGTTTCTTGGGACAGGAAGCTCCATAGGAACGGCTGCGAAGAGGACTATTTGTATATAGTACGAACGTTATAGCTATCGTATGCCACTGAAAGAGAGTTAAGCAAATGTTTGACGTTCCTTAACAGTTTTTGAGTTGTGTTCCATGCAATTAAAACCACGGATCCAATGGGCGAGCATTTCCAGTTATGAAATATTGATTTTAGCTCGTCCCTGGATCATAGGGTCTGTTTTTTCAAGGTCTGCTCTTTCTCTTCAGTCACAAACTTGCTGTGAGGAGTGCTAAATACCCTATATCTAACAGTATGTTTACCAACTTACAAACATTAGCTTCTCCTGCCTCATTTGATGAAATCCAAGTCAAGCAATCGAAATCATCCGAAGAAATAGTGAAACCGACCCTTGATAAACAAGTAGAACAACAACTACGACAACAATTTCAACAACAACAGGAGCAGCTTCAGCAACAACAACTACTGCAGCAACAACAACAACAACAACAACAGCAGCAGTTACAACAGCAAACCCAGCAAAAAGGTAAAGTTCACTATTGTTTATTTAATTTTCCAATCCATTTTTACCAATTTTTTTTCTTTATGAGATTTTTCATTATTCCTTTTATATRTGAAACGTTATATTTTRTTGCAGAGAGACCTATGGTAGCTGCACCGACCAAAGAAGTACAACCAAATCCTCCACGAAAGACACGACCTTTGTCTGCAACAGACTCCTCACGGTCATCGCGATCACAGGGAAACCAAGAAACAGTTTCTAAACGAGTTCTTTCATCGCAACCTCGATTTAAAGCTGTGCGTGTTGATGACGTRATGGCAAAATCTGGATCTCTCACGTGAGTAATAAATACATTTGACCACTGCACTCGTTACCTACGTCAACACACTCTAGATATAATTTTTCTTCTTTTTCAGAAATTTTGCTTTTTTCAGTAATGATGTTGTGTTTGATTTTGACAGAAAACTCCAGGCACGACARGCTTTTGCTATGTACCTACAACGCGTTCAGCAGCGACTCATCCACGAAGCAAGGTAAGCTATGCGCATGCTCTTTGTTTCACACAATCTGTTATCCCACATTGCTAAGCAGAAAACATCTTTGTTGTATATCAGTTATGATTCGGATAATTCAAGCGAGGTATCAAAGCAAGATGAACAAATGGTAAGAATCTGTAAAAGTGTTCTTGCTATCATGTAAGTATGTAGATATTGAAAATGGTTGTGATTTGTGTTTAGACGTTAGTCATACGATTCTTGAAGAAAGCAGCCTGTAATCTTCAGCAGCCATTCAGAGTTGTGATACCAAGTCGTAAACTGGCACTACATGACAGGTAATTATGATTATTATTTGATAATTATTAATTATAGATAATAGTATTATCCATATAAATTGATTAATTAGTCAGGTGAATCAAATAACTATTAAGCTATTTTTTCTCTTACAGGAGGCGAATACTGGCTAAGCAGCTAGGTGATTTTGTACACGTTTATGGAAAGGTATGATTCAATACCTGAAGACTCGGTTTAGTCGAGTTTAATCGTCTCCTTTGACACGTATTGACTTAGACACTCGTATTTTATTTGACTCCAGTTCCATTTAGAGTCTTGATTAAAACTCGCGAACTACAAATATTTCGAAAAATACGATTCAAAAAAGTCAGTACTGTTATCATCTTTATTACAACAGGAGACTTTCCAACTCCAAAAACGACTAGAAATCACTCGTGCTTATGGGTTGAACAAGAAGGAAGACGACGGCGAAATACCTGAYGATGATTTTAAAACTTTCATGGCAATAGCAAGGTAATTTCACGAGCTTATGAAACCTGTACTTTATTCGTTTATTCGCTTTCCTTTTCTATGTCATCTCTCATAAGTCTCATGAGTTGTTTCTTTGTTGTTAGCGAGACGGAACTAGAAGAATTGTTGACCAGATACACTAAGCTAAACAAAAGTGCTAGCGTATTTCTTGGCGGACCTCCTGAGAAACAGCGAGAAGATGAGCGCAAAACACCTGCCAATAATATYGAGACTGGTTTGAATAGGAAGAAAGAGTCTGAAAGTACACTGCGCACTCACATGAGAAGGTATTAAACTCAACAACGATGTTGCTATTTTATTTACAAAATTTAATTCGTGTGCTGAATGTAATATCGYATACCAATATTGTATAAACAGGCCATGTCAAYTTACTAACTTATTTTTCCAGGAGAGCGTCGTGTCAGCGTAGAAGTCTTAGATGTTTTTTGGCGCGAAAATTTGTGCACGTCCGCGCACGTCCCATGTTGTTTTTCGCGCCTTTTTTGTCACGCCTGCTATACACAAATTTGTTTAATGAATCAAAAGGAAAATTAGAATATTAGTATAAAATTAGTACTTATTAGCTATTAATTTTTCTTGCGCTTGCTGATTCAATATTTTCATCCTCTCCCAAAGAGTTTCCCAAAGTTTTTTGGGATTTGTTTAATCTTTCTAATCCACAGTATTYTGATATTTTAGTTCTAGTGCTGCGCAGCTGGATAGTAACTGGTCGAACCCCCGTGACAATGACATGGCTGATAGACGTACCAAGTACATATCCGCCGTGAGTACTTATGGTAAATCAGTGGCTATCAACAAACCTAAGCCACGACCTGCCTCGGCCAAACCTGCTACGTCTTCTTCCTCTGGTAAGCTTTCGGTTTGAAATAAAGACTTTATATTCTTATAACTTTCTATTGTTGTTGTTGTGGTAGTAGTTGTTGTTGTTGTTGTTGATGACGAAGATGATGATGATGATGAATGATAATGTTGTCATAGTAACTGTGGTGATGCTGTTGTTCTTGCTGTTGTATATGTTCATAACAGTCCTACACTAGAATAATGAAAAGGTGCTTTTTTCATGGCTTTTCTCTAAAACCCTCAGTTTTTCTTCTGTCTGTAGGTTTCGATAAAACAGCTCGTGTAGCCAGGCCTGTTTCTGCAAAGATATCACGTGATCGAGTTAGCGAATTGGTTGATTCCCGGGAAATAGGTAAAGTTTTTGATAACTTTTTTATCACTTCCTTTGTTATCATTTCCTCAAAACGGTCGAAGTAAATCGTTTAAAGAGTGATTATCTGTGTATTGCTTTTTGATTCAAACTTTTTAAATAAAAATGGCGTTGTTATTGATASTTATTGAATATTTTTCTTTTTGTTTAGAAGAACGTCAAGCWGTCGCCAATGAAGAAGCAGTAGCACTAGCTCTCCAAAAACTCGCAAAACGACAGTCKGCGAGGAAGTACTCCCCTCAAACATTAACCTCAAAAACTTCAACCAATTGGCGAGACATCCTCAAGCAACTGTACTCTGATGGAAATCCAGAGGGACCCCCCAACGATGGCTATGTCTCTCTTGTCAATCAAGAATCACGATCGCATCATGTGCGCARCMATCCYAAATCACATGATAGGAACGCAAGTGCAAATGCYACGTTTAACTCATTTGTTGACTTCGATCCTGACGACTCTGACGTCACTTCAACTGGTGACGTAGAGACGGCTATGCGTCAACATGCGCATCCATCAACGTGGAGATCGATACGCGTAGATATTCCACGAGAACATGAGGGTGTAGATCAAGAAGAGAAAAGTGAACCAYTAGAGCTGAAAAARCCGATTTCTCGCGACGACTACAACAGACATATACGACTACTAAGTCAGAAAYTCGCTTCAGAGAACTTTCCTTTTGAAAATATTACCCAAGTTTTGCCTCGACCTCCCCCAGGGCCCTCTCCYGGTAGAAAGCACRTTGGAGCCAAGCGCATGGCYAGGTGGGTACCATCTACTGACTCCTATTGCTTCCCTAAACATTAACTATAGTTTTATATCTTATTMCAGAGTTTCATCGTCTGTGCAGTCTCATGACGCTAGAACCCAGCCCTCTGGAGCTTATCAAGTAGCAAATGGTTATACATAGTAGAAGTTGACGTCCACTATACATTGGCTAAATTTCGCAGTGTAGTGTTTTACCATTTTTGTCAATATTTATTGCAAATTAACGGTCAAGATGTTTTTTTAAATAATAACATGAGAAATTTGCACTTCCATTTTGGCTTTGATATCTCTCAATTACGATAACATGATAAATTCCACGTCTATGTACAAAGGGCATTACATTTCTGTAAAAAGTGTTTTAAAATAGTTTTTTATATTGTTCACTGAATTAAAATGGTACTATACTTTATAATTGTGTTGCAATTTCTGCGAGTCTGGCGGGTTTCAAGGAGTGTCTTTGCCTTCCATTCCTTTCCTCTCACAGTTTTCAATCCGGGGGCTGCGGGCGCCTACGAAATGGTTGAAAACTAACTTGGAAMTGTTTCTATGCAGACATTTCCGTTTCCCATATAGACCTAATGGGCTAACGCGTTGCCGTGTACGTTGCCACCCAATTAAAATCCTATGGTAAAAAGAATTTSGTTTCWAATAAYTAATCTGTAACAAACAATGAAAATTACTTCCGGGTGGTTTGAATTSGRTGGAAACRTTTATAGCAACGCGTTCGGCGAKAAGGTCTGTTGCTGGACCCCATAAAACAGTAAATTTGACAAAATATCAATATTTAGACTCATATTTATTTGATCGAGTGTTTTGGTAAATAGTAAAGGGATATAAATTACATTCTAAAGTAGTTATTACTACGTAGTCTCTACACCTAATAATAAAAAGAACCGCTGTACRAAAGTCGTTCCGGGTACTTGGTCCCAGGCTACTTCTTTGAAACTTCCACCGACAAGACTCCATTTCTTATCGGTTAAAAAGTCTGGTAACGAATTCGTATGTTTATGAGATCGTTTTATGGAGACTGTAACACCGCTGGACGGTCCTGCTCGAACTGAAACCGTTCTGAAATCAGACAACGCACAAGTTAGTTTCTCACCCAAGAAATAGAATGATTTCGACTATGAAATAACAAAAATAAGTATTCAAGAGGGCATAACAGTCCGATGAAGCAGACTGCTACAGGGTGTTTTTCTAATAAGAAATCTRATTGTYAGGTACGCCCTGTATGTCATTTTTGCAAATACTCAAAAAAACACATTTGCATGTCCCTCACCTATCGCCATCTGATGACGTCACTACAAGACCAGACACGTGACCTTGCTCTTCAATGTCCCCAGTAGGAACGTGACGYTTCATGTGCAGGACTTGCCAGCCAAGACTGACCGCGATGGAATGGGCCACAAGAATTCTATGCTGAGCCACCTGGGAACCAGACAAAATGAGCATAAATTTCGTATCGTTATAGTGGTATAAAGCCGTGAAACAAACTTAAAAACAGCTTAAGTGTCCTAGTCAACTAGACACAAAAGAAAACAATGATTTTAAGATGCGTCTTTTGCGGTCCTCTTCTATGGCGCCTTTTAAAGACGCCGCAACTCAGAGTTAGACAACCATGTTATTCAGAATCTAAGTGAATCAACAAGACGCCCAAGCCCAACTGCAAGGTCACCATTTTAAGAATTACCTGTGTCAAGAAGAAGTCCTTCAAATCACGTACATGACTAGTAAACGTTACTGTTGAACCATTGGAACAAACTACATGGATATCCTTGATGCCTACTTTGAGTCGAAATGAAGTCCTGAAAGAAGATATAACATCCTTTGTCAGACAGTATCATCATCATCATCACCATCATCATCATCATCATCATCATCACCATCATTATCATCATCATCATCATCATCATCATCATTATCATCATCATTATCATCATCACCATCACCACCACCACCACCACCACCACCACCACCACCACCATCATCAAATATTAGCTACTACTGTCGCCAGCGTAAAACACGCGGTCTTTCTGCACACACACAATCAGTACAAATCACAGTCCACTCTCGTTTTAATGAACACCTCAAGGACAATAATAGTGTCCGCAATAGCAACAGTCCTCTGTAAAGGAAGCTAACATTTTTTTTGATCAGAGATTAATTTCAGTGTTCGTAATAATATGGAGTCCATAGTATTTGGTTTTYCGCAAGGAGAGAGTAATTATTATGCTTTTTTCCTCAAAGAGCATCCACTTACTTGCCAACATCGTTGATCTCGGGCGAACATATGTGMACGACTGCAGACGTGGATGTCTCTGACGTCACAGTGCTCCAATGACATAGWATACATGGATCACTCAGCTCTGACGTCAAGCTGTCAATCATTTCCATTACCCTGGCAACAATAATGAGTGTCCTTAAAAACAGTTTACAGCAGAATGTCATCTTGGGACATTCTGACTGATTAACAGTCAGTTAATAAGAGTTGTTTCACTATGYGTCACAGCGGCCATCTTGGAGGAACTTCAACAACGATTTTTCATTAGTATCTAATGTTCATTCCTCCAACATGGCCGCCAGTCTTTTATCTTTTGAATCTCCACGCCTATTTTCTGAATAATTATTTATCAGCAGTTACCTTTTTCTTAAAATTTCGTGCTTGGAAACCTTGATAATAGTATCCAAAATAGTTTCCCTATGGATTTATCAAACAATCATTAAAATGTACGATATTTAATCATTATTTCACTCTCAGTTTTTAGCAGTCAAGCTTTGTTCTTCTTGCATGTCAAACACAAAATGCGTTTTCCTAAACGCATGGAAAGCTGCTTTTTGATTGCTCCCTTAGTACTGAACTTCTATGACAATGATTTAAGGATTGCAATGTTCCAACTCTTGATATTGGTGTCTAGGGCTTTCACTAACCTATCTAAAGAAGAAGCAACATCGCTAGTACGCAGTGCTGATGATCCAGCTATTCTCAACCGTTTATTTGAACCAGGAATTTGACGAGACGTGACTGGATGAGGAAGAACAACACGTTGGTTCTGTTTATGTCGTTTTCTAAGGAGAGACTGAAGRGTGTACTCCAGTGGACCAATTGATTTGGCTACGGGTTGACTGTGAATGTCCTGCAAGACAGAAAAACAAGGAAATAACTTTAGACCTGTTTATACAGTACCACTAGTAATGACAACACAATATATCACTTCAAATTATTTTACTTCACACACTCATCACTTATCTACAACTACATTTTGACTGAACATAAATTAATTCTTACTTCTTGATTTTCAGTGTTTTCTTTTTCATGAGAATATGTGATGCACAGATCAACCCCTGGAAAAACCTTTAGAAAAAATAGGAATAGAAATACTTAAATAACAAAACCAAGATCACTGACAAAATCGATAATAATGACAAGAATGATTATACTGGTAGTGATAGAAAAGGCAAGCTGAATTATGGATGATGACAATAATATTGATGAAGTGATGGCTGGCCAGTCTTACCTCAGTTCGGATCTCATTGCCCATAACTAGATTTGTGATTGGTCCTCTGCTGTGATATGCYTCTTGTGATAGCTATTAAAGGAGAAATTAATGAACACATGGTACACTTTATAAGACTGGACTGTATATGTTTACACTGAACTAGGGCCCATTGGAAACAGTGTGTTGAATTTTCCGGCAAATTCACCTGTATTTTCACATGTGATCTTTTAAACTTAAATCATTTTTGAACAGAAAGTTCAACTATATGAAGAACAAACTTGAACAGCCTCATACAAACATAGTTCTGAATTTCTCAAAACATTTCACATCTATTTCAGTGAACTCAACTCTTTAAATGAAACTACATTTCTTAAAAAAAATAAAGTTCCCTCGGAAATGATGCAAACTCTATTCAGTATAAATATCATACCTGTGTGAATAGTTCCTTGCAAAATATGTTTTCYTGTGCAKAGTAAAGCATTTTTTGCCAGKCAGGAGCTTTACTGAGATCTTGCACTCTTGCTAGAATTCTTGGTTGAGCTGAWAACAGTGAAGGATAAGGTTATTAAACCAGTGTGCCAGAACTTGGATTATCACAACTAACATCACTGAATAATAAATGTTATTATACCTTTTCCAGTTTCTTGGCTTGTCTCATTCTCACAAATGCTGACTGTTACAGATGCCACACCTTCTAAATCACTGCCGACTTTAACTTCAAGTAAACTAGAGTTATTTAATTGAGTTGAAGGACCCTCTTCCTCATCTGGTTGTGATGCTTTTGTGACCTCAAAAAGCCCAGGATTCCAAAACTGAGATCCAGCTAGAAAAAATAGTACTTGGCAATGAAAACAATGCATTCTACTGTAGCTACTAAGAAAGCAAAAGCCTCTACCACACCCTAGACAGAGGGGGATCATTTGGTTCCATATGTCAATAATTACATTTACAAGTAACAAAGCTAAATTGTGATGATGTAAAGTATACTGTGAGCAGGTTTTAGAGACAAATCCAAACTCATTGAATTCGATTTGCTTTTAGTTTTCCTCAGAGAAAACTCTCTCAAACACGTCATACAAAAATTACCCTTCTCTAACCTGAGCGATAGGTTAAATCTCCCATGATGCTTGGCCCTGTTTTCTTAAGTTTCCATCTCTGCCTAAGACCAATAAGTTCAGAATGGAAATCTTCAAGTTTTTGTCCTTGTCTAAGTTGCTGGTTGACTCTTTCTTGTATTGCCGTTTCCATTCGCATGGTTCCTTGAAGAATGATATCTGCTGCACTGCTGAGATTCTGTTTATAAAATAGTAATAATAATCAAAACCATGTACTTGTTTTCTACATTTCCATGTTTATCAGTTTTTCTTCTGACTGCCTGTATGTTATCTTTGGCATTGGCTCTAGTCTTAATCCACAGGGGTCCCAAAAAGAGAGAATGCAAAAGTTACCTACAAGGAAGGCTACATCCTTTTGGTTAATTTAGGATATTGAATTAAAGCTTTGCACTTTATAAGCTGTTTTTATAAGCTGTTTATATTACACAGACTATTTTTATTGTTGAAGTTAAACCAAGTGGTGGTTAGACCAAACAACTTTATTTGATTAACAAGATTAACAAGTCTTAAGTAATGATGATGTCACATACTTTCCTCTTTGCAAGCAACTGTACTGTGGGTTTAGGRGGAGCCTGGTTCTGAGTAACAGGGTCCAAAACCATGTACTTCTTTTCTTGTACAACATTCAGAATGTCCGACAAAACACAMACTTCTGTCAAAGCATTTCTATGAGAAAGAAAATGTAAACATTAGCAATGATCAAACAGGTAGTTTGTCAAAATACTAGATATACAATGTCCAAGTACAATCAAATCTTCTTATCATGAACACCATTCACATACATTTACCCATATCTACATTATCAGAAGAGTTACTCCCAGTGATATCTTGATTGTTTTTTGTCCTCTATATAAGGACCAGGGTTTTTACATGCCAAGTTTTGACTTGACTTATATGGCCGCCRCAACATTGCTTTCCCTGTCAGAATACTGAAGCTCTTTGTCAATATTAGAATTCTCACCTCAACTTTGTCCGTACTGAGTCCCATGGCCACAAAGAAGGTTGGAATACTACCAAAGCCTTCTTTTCTTCTTCCTGKACTTCTTCTGCACTTTTATGGCTTTTATCATCAGAAAGGAAATCAATCTTATGRGCAAACTTTGTTAGTTGTTCTGACATAGACAACTGACTGTAAATGAAGTGCACAACATGCATTAGTAATGGCTAATCACATAAGATTTGACATTGACTTCAATTTTTGGGATTCACTGGCAAGAATTAAGATGAGTCCTATGCCTATGAAACAGCATTTTGACAAACATTAGTGAAGTTTTCATTATTTTGTGTGACATGCTTGTTATACTGGCTGTGTAAACATTTCTGTTGTTAATAATTTGATTTAAGTGGGGTAAGTGCAACCAGCAATAAGGAATAGGGGACAGTCAACCCCCACCCTCCCTCCCATRCCCTTTACTGGATTGATTGATGGTCCACATACACAAAAATATATTGATGAATATCTAACTAAAGACGAAAAACATTGCCATTTTWWAAAAAAAGGAATAAACACAACTGTAGTGCTTCAGATCAGCTCGCAACCTCACTTTTAAAGAAATTCAAAATAGTAAACAACAATAGCTAGAAAAAAATATGGCCAGAAAAAGCTTTTTTTCTKCATCAAACTACAAATTACACCCACATAAAGTACAGGATTACTCACGGAACGTATTTTTCCTGTCCATCTCGCCCAATTTCCTCAACTTCGCTTTCTAAAAGCTGTTCGATTGAGATATTTACCGACAGACCTGCCGCCATATTGACGGGCATTTTGATTGTCTGAGGCTAACACGCATGCGTCAATSTTATATACCCCAATCCATGTGCACTGAAGGCTCAATTCTAGGTATTTTCATTCGATTTATCAGCTGTTTCCATTTGGGCGTGAAGTGAGACGAAAAAATCTTTGGTTTTAGGCTTCGCGGTCCAGGTTAGTACAGTTCTCTTATATTTATGTGCCGCTGTATATATTTCAGCGTGTACCTGGTGTGAATTTGAAGGAAAACGAAGGGAAATGCTGGACGCGTTTTACAAACGAACGTGTCGCTTGACTGTGATTGTGTTTGGCGCGCTTTCTCGTGCTTTTTTCTCGTTTTCGCGTAATATCCCTTCCGCAGTTAAATCAAAAATATAATTTACAGCAAATTGAAGTTTCAAGGASTGTAAATTTTAAYGATCATACTTTTTAAGAAGAGAAAGTTTGGTTSAAAACGTGGTTTGGTTTACAAATTCTTAGYAGCGGAGGATCTCCCTYAGCCGCGTTCAAATGCGGACAGATGTTTTTTGCCGCCACGCAGACACTGAAACAGCTATTGAAATCCTYAGGAATCCCTCAGAATTGTACGTAAATCCATGAGTCATGTACAGCACTTTATTATTACTTTTACGATCAATTAGATTGAAGTATTTGTTTCAAAGGATACCGAACGAACGCGARTCGAAAAAACCACACGGAGTCTGCATGTTTAATGGCGTCGTCTAGCGCGTACAGCAAACACTTATCCTCCACATACCTATTCACTCTGTATAAACAGTTTTTCAAGTTAAAAAATWCGTAATGTATTGCTAAAATAACTCGTCAAAATATCAGTAATTCGATATAGTATATTTGTACTTAAGCTTTGCATACATTAACTTTAAATATCGTCGAATTTTCTCACTAAACTGAGGAACTGAGACCCTTTGTAGCAGGTTGAAGCTTTTCGTTCTTTGAATATCTCGCGTTTTTCTTGGTTATTTCTCGTTTCCTGTACTTATTGTGCTTTTATAATTGATTGATAACAAGGAGTTTATATATTGAAGCCATAAGTTGAAATTCGACGCTCTGCCGCTTATCTCGAGATCAGCCTTGCTTTGGAAACAATGGATTTAATTTTCAAATTGACAGCACGAAAAGATAAACAAATGAGAACTGTACGTGATACTCATTATTCTTTACKATCCACAATAAAATGTTTAAATTTTTCAAAAAATGTATCACACTTGTAATCCTTGAAATAATTAGCTGTTAAGTAAATATTTTTAAACTGGATTTTGGGTACTAATTAGTAACAATTGCCCTGGGTACCAGAGGTTAAAATTTACCGTTTTCATGGTTTATATATAAGACCTCTAAGTTAGCAGTGCTTAGCACTGTAAATATAACTCCTTTTAAAAAAATTGCACAATTTAAGAAAAGATTTGTGTATTGATTTACACCATTAATTCATTTTTGAAAGCAAAATCAAAGTTTGAGGTTAGAATTTGTTAAAGAATACATGTGTTTTCAAAGATCTGTTATGTCATAGAATGTCAAGAGGTTGCCACATGTCATGTGTGCCAGCGTTTAGCACTAGACATATTGAGTTACTGGGAGTGTAGAGTGACATGTTGTGTTTTCACCCTCTTAGTGCAAAATGGCTCCCTGGTTTTATAAAAACATAAACATTACTTTACCTCTTAAAAGAAGTATAAATTTCATAACTGAGTATCAGTTTACAATTCTATTTTTAAAACTAACCTGGTACTCCAAATAACTTTTTTTACTGTTGTATTATGCACTGTAGATCAGCAGGGGCCGGCCAAAATTTATGAAAAAGATTCACAAAAAAATAAATTGAATGAAAAGAGCAGGAATAAATAGAAAACACACACAAAAAACACAAAACAACAACGACGACAGCAATAAAAAATCAAGTTTTTTTAATTCTTTGGTTGGTTAAAATGTTACAATATCGGATTATACATTTTCTGAATTGAGATGCAAATTAATACATTTATTATAATAGTAAGAATTCATGGAAATTGATTAAGAAGTTAAGATTTATTCATTCATTTATTTACTTTTGTATATTTTAAATTTGTATCTCGTTAGTTTTAGGATTATTTTAATCTTTTAGCCTTCCTGGCTTATCTTCTATWTTAAGCATATGTCACTCATAAGACTAAGTCAGCATAAGTAACAACACATCCTACRACATTAGTAATCCTTCCTTTGATATGCTAATTATACTTGATCCCATTCTAGAACATATAAGGATGCAAAGAATTCTACTAGTACATATAAATGATTATACTTGTCCTYATTCATTTTTCTTGTGTTTCATTTTTTATATATTTTCATTCTTATGTTTGCCTTTTTCTATTCTATTTAACCCTATTCTATTCTGTTTCATCCAGTTTCACTCTTTTACTTTGTTCTAATTCTAATCAATATCTTTTCATTTTCTCTATTGTGTGATGATGTGTTTTATTCTTTTCCATTCTCATCTTCCATTTCATTCTATTCTAATCCCTTTCTATTCGATTGCACTATACTTGTCTATGAACATTTATATTGATAACGCAGAAAAACTTCCTGCTTCCTGGTGTTAGTGAACAGAAACATCTTTTTAAAGTTTCCTTTTAAACGTTTGAGCCTAAAAAAATTCAAAACGGTCAATGATTTCTTTCTTCAATTTTAATTGAGATCATTGTGCCTTTTTTTATTATTTTTATTTGTTAAGCTGGTTGAAGTCAACAAAAATGAAAATATCTTCATTGACATGTCATCTCATTATTTTCCTTTGCGGGAAGTCTATTATTATAATGTTTCCTTGGATGTTTCAATATCTTCCTGCCAATCAAAGAAGCCTTAAACTCAAGTCAATAATTACGTAGTGACATTTGATCGTCTGCGACGAATTCTTTTCATTTGGTATGCATATTTTAATCCTTTTATATTAGAAAAAAGAACCTGTTATCTTGATCTCCTTGGTTTCCAAAAAAACATGCATTTTTAAAGCCTATACTTTGGATTGAATGAATTATGAGTCATTTTCTGATAACACTTTTCCTCGACCGGTGACTACAAGCCACAAGTATTTCAAACCGATTTTGATCAGCCAACCATTTTAYGCATTTCCTGATTTGCAAAAATCTACAATTTCAATTCGCCTAAGTGGAGTGTTGACGGGAATAGGAATTTGGGTGTTTTTTCACGCAATAAAGATGTGTTAGTATAATAATATTTTGGATCAATTCTCCAATTAAAAGACAAAGTCATGTTTTGTTTATGTTGAACCGTCTGTTAAGACAATCGATTCTTTTTCGCGCGCATAATTTTATTTTATTAATCACGCTTCGGTCCACTAACTCGAGGTCTATTTATTTAAAACAGATTCACGATGGAAAGCATATATTTGAAGGTCACGCGGGATTACACTCCGTCTGACAGAGAGACTCGTTTCGGGGGTAAAGATTCGGCCATAACTGTAGAAAAAGGGGACATTATATTTGACGTTCGAAAGGATGACGATGGATGGTTATGCGGGAAAAACCTAAACTCTGGGAAAACTGGACGATTCCCTTCCGATTGTGTGTCGTCATTATCTGACGACAAGACCAAAACAACAGACAAGAAAGACTCGACCTTCAATAAAAATCCACAAACTCGTGACACTAAAGCAAGTGAACGAACTGTAGCCGAACCTACGGGAAGCTTGCGTAGACCACCAAATCCTCGACCATTTGGTCTGTCGTCTCGATATCCAAGAACATACGACCAACGAGAAAAGAAAGAAAGCTCTGGTGATTCTGGCGTTGGTGTTGAAGACGGCGAAGATTATTATTTAAATGACAATTTACCCGAAAAGAAAAAAACTCCCGAAAGTAGAAAAATCTCGACGGAAAGTGAAACAAAAAAGCCATCTATTTACGAGTCGCGTTTCGGGAATAGTAAGACATACTCGCCAATCTACAGCACGCGACCGAGTGTCTCGAAATTGAAATCAGCTTTTCTCGAAAACGATCAAAAAGCGAAGGCAACAGATATGAAGGGAAAAGACAAACCTAAAGAATCRCTAGAAATGACTAAGAAACCTTCTCTCAGCTCAGAACCGAAAGATAAAGACAAAAAGAACGGAAAGGCGGCTCTCGCGGCTGAAGAAGATGACAATGATGGTATGTACGCGAGTGCTGAAATCGACGAAAAACCCTCAGAYGTCAACAAGAACAAGAAACCCGATACTTTAAAGCAGGTAAAGGATAAGAAAGTAAACATTCAAGATAATCCGTTATCTAAAGACAAGGGTGCTCCATATCACAGCTATCARGTCCCTCAGGGCCCTGACAAGCCTCCAAGAACCGGCGGATGTTCAGAGTGTGATGAGCCACATATTTATGCAGACCCTGCAGCCGGAGGCGAGCACTATACGGAGCCGGAAGAAACTTCGGCCAAGTACGATTTCGACCCGACGGAAAGCCARCAGCAAAAGCTCTTAGAGAAARCAAACGACGAATCAAAGTCGGAGACCAATCGGCGCTCATATAACCGGATGGCGTCTTATGAGAGTATCAGCAATGTTGGACCCGATAAGAGCACGAGCAAATCGCGCTCCACCGAAAGTATCAAAGAAGCAATGAAGGCGRTTAAGAAGACAAAACAGAAACTKGGTTCTTCTCCTGATAAATACCCAARAATCAGGATCTTCGTTGGAACTTTGCTGGGTATTTTCCTCGGCGTGTTTGTTTTCTTCTTATTTTATTTGGTTGTAGCCCTGCCAGTGATTTTAGCAATAGTATGTGGTGTTATCATCGGGGTTGTTCTCGCCATGATTCTTGGTTTTCTTGACAAAAAGAGACTCTTGTGCATTATCTTGTTGATTTTGCCAAGTGTATTTGCGACTCGTGGTAAAATTGCGCTGTGGATTCTGATATTGTACTTTTTGATAGCTGGCCCACTGTGTAACTTTATTGGTAATGTGAATATCATTGCATTATCTTACGGACAGTGTTGGTACATTGGCGCTGAAAGTAACACGTCAAGTAATGGAAGCAATCAAGTGCATCCTTCTTATCAGCGTGTAGTGCATCCATTATTACAACGTTATGTTGACAAGATTGATGATTTAAGGGTGTTAGTCAACTTGACTTCGACACGTTGGGACAACATGACAWCGCTKCAAGCGATTTGTGATACATTCTCGTCCAATTTAAGAAAAAATTGTTTAACTTTGTCRGACAAAGCCTATTWCCAGTGTATGCACGATGCCAAGAACCCTAAAATATTGCATGGCTGCCAAACTCTAAAACCCAGCAAAATATGTGACACTAGCAGAAACACTTCAGCAGCATGCATCGAAGATATTAGTGATTTCGTGACTTCGTTAAGAAAAACACTAAACGAGGCTCCTGGTCACGCAATACTGACCGCGTATAAATATGACAACCAACCAACTGTGGCTACACCAGCGAGAAAGAAATGTGAAAATGGAGTGAATGTTTTGACAATGCTGCTTCCTTTGTTGATATTATTGGTACTTTACGAGGCGTATAGCTATCACAAGTTATACCTCGCACGGAATGACTTTGACAACCAATATCTAACGAACCATTTTAAGACTATAGAAGATACTCGAAAAGCTAGCGGTTCGACAGATGGGCTGCTGCCACTGAAGAAATGCGAGCATCAGAGGTACATCCAACCTACGTCTCCACAGTTTACAATCGCAGAGAGAAACAATATGCTCAAGTATTTGTTAGTGTACTTTATCTTCTTAGYTTTTGCGCTGATGATAATTCTCGGCGATTACTATCTTTATCATATTATCACCACCACCAAATATGGCAATGATGGAAGCTCTTCACAAAGCATAATCAGCAATGACAACTCAACCAATGCAACTCTTACTAATGCTACATCTACTGAGAGTACTGGAGGGATTGCTTGCGCACCTTTAGTTYTTCCGTTGGAGGAGTATTATGTGATAGTCATTTCAGTTCTACTTGGGCTGCTATTGCTCATGATTCTCATCCAGCCTTATGTACTACGGCTGAGGCACTACATCGCTTCGCATCTCTACCGMAGAAGGGAGCGCAAACGCATCGCGTATGTCTACTACAAACTCCTCGAGGAGCGCAAGGCCTTCTACAAGGCTGTCATCGACAACATCAACATGGAGAGCGAAGAAAACTACGCCATGGATCAACTCGACGCGGTTCGAGTTCTTGCCTGGAATTTCCAAACCATGGAGAAAGTGTTYTCTGTATTRGGAGTAAGCCTGAGGAATTGCATGGTATGCGGACGAGGGTTRAATCGCCAGTACGTGTACTGCGATACAGATACGTGTGAATCTATTTACTGCCGCACTTGTTTCTGGGACTTGGGTAACAAGTGTCTTGGATGCATGCGTGACAGTAACCCTGTGACTCGTTCGTCGAGTTTTATCCAAGGCAGCTCAAGAAAGAAAAAAGTCGACAACGCTCAAGGAGTTTGAAGAGGTTGAACTTCAATTCCCCAAAAGGCAAAACTTAGGCTGACGCCCCGAGAGAGCTTCCTTCAAGGAAATATTACGTTGCTCTAAGGAACTCTGTCTACAACAGTGAAAGTCCTGTGTGGGTCACAAAGAGTTGACACGCCCTCAAGGAAGTAACGTGTTCTTCAAGAATCAAAACACTTCAATCAAATGCATTGTGAAATGATGCTTAATCGAAACTTATGTACAAACTTAAATGACAGGATGGCAATTGTGGACTTCTGTAGCATGACTACTACGAAACAYGATTAAAACGGCTAGTTTTAGTTTAACATCGATCTTCAAATAAGGCAATATAGTAGTTTTCGTGTGCAAGTAGAAGCTATAGAATGGCTGGTATATGAAGGGAATKTAATGATTGTTGTAAATAGAAAAGTGAAAGTGTCTTTTGAATCGTAGTCAGAAACAAGATATCGAATTCAGTCTCTAGTTCGCATCAGCGGAACCRGTGATTGAAAAACACATGATTTGTTTGTTCCATACATGTGAAATTCGACGTTGAACCGGGGAAAACACATGTAGTAAACAATGCTAATTAGTACGAGATAGTACTATTTAATAGATCGAATTATCAGTGATTCTCGCCAGGCAGTGGAAGAGCCAATATTCTCTAACAGATGTTGGCCGAAGACCAAGAATTTCACGTTGTGTTATTTAGTTTCATTTTCAATTTAGTTATTCTGGAACCTGGTGAAAATTACAAGATTTGAAAGAATAGACGAKCAATATGTGAATAGCTAATTCATGTTCAAGGTTTTAGCGCGCTCACTACGTAAAACACGATTTTTTAAGGAAAATTTTGGCCATGATTGTATATGAGAGCCTCGAAATTCCTCAATAATTGATAACACTGTTGTAAAACTGACAACTAGACTTAATTAATGATCTTATACTRTTAGTGTAGTATTTCCGGCAAGGTATTACACCCAGCTTGTTGTAAAATGGCTACTTAACCTTTGCTCTGATTTAACTTCCATTAATTCACACACAAAGTTGAAGAGCCAAGACTCGTTTTTCCCCCTCGCTGAGTTTAATTATTATTCATCTGTTTCTAATGAAAGYTTAAGTAACTTTATTATGTCTGCTATCATACTTTATTAATGTAACATACGGAAGAGRTACTKCTCGCTCGMTCAAAAGTTCAACGATCAGCTACTTTTAGCCTGCRCACAGACGAACAAAAACTGGTGTTCGACGAGCAGGCAGGCTAAGATTACTGACAATCGTCGTAACGTTTTTATTGACACTAGAGCGGATTTCGTATGAGTGGGAAACGGACGGTACTGTACTGTGACCGTAATTGTACTGTAACCAAATTCTAGTGTCTCATTGCTTCGCAAAAATTGTGCAGGCCAGGTCCGGTAACTGTGCGGTAACCGTGCGGTAACGGTGTCACACTCATACGAAATCCGCTCTATTGCTAAATGTACTACTCAAAAAGTGCGGCAATATTTAATAGATAATTACTGAGGCACGCAGCATTCATAGGTATAATGCAGGCAGCTGAGGACGCAGTAAATATTAAATTTTCCTGGAGCGTTTCTTTCATTGACAAATTGTGTTTTTACTTGAACTCGACTGTTTTTTTGTAGAGCGCGCTGTTGTAGAGGTAGTCCCACCGGCTAATTCTCGTTCCGGCTCTTGCGTTGCCATTATGGCTAAGTTCCCACCAAATAGAATTATATAGTCTTGTTTTTTATTGATTCCAAGTAGAGTTTACCAATGTAAAAAAAGAGAAGTGAATATATGTTTGTGTATATAGCGGATAAATAAATATATTGAAAAATTGAATGAAAATCGGGTTGTGTCTGTTACGATTTCAGACCTCGTTGTGTGCGTCAATTTGCAATCGATTTGGTATCCACGAGAGTAACTTGTCTACGACTGTACCATTACACACTGAGAAATTCCCCCCCAAGATATTCGGTAGTCCTTAAACAATTGTTAACAACGGATGTAATCGCTTAGCCTCACCCCAGGACAGGGAACTCCTTTTCATCCCTCCCAGTTCCCCACCACTCCGTTCTTTCCAGACTTACGCCCTTCCCTCCCATGCCTCCTTATCAGCCAAACTGCAATATTCTAAACGGGAGTTACCAGCGGAGGAAACTAGACTATATTTCTACAAATTGACAGTTGCCTGCCAGTTTGAGTGCTGCAGGATCATATAATCTCACCTTATCGGTCAACAGATAACTAAACCGCGCAGGCTCTTGATAAGCTCGAGGTTCTTGATAAGCGCGCATGTTCTTGATGTAACAATTGTGTGACTGATATTGTAGGTCGCGGTGGTTAACACCGCAGTGCAGCTATATAAACATCTTATCATGAAATCAATTTTAGATCTGATCATTACCTCGTTTGAAGTGATGTTTCCAAGGTGTTCAACCCTGGAGGTATAAAAATTGTTTAGAGAATGCTGCTGGAGATTCCATACTTTGATTCATATGCAAATGCATGTATAAGGCGAATAACTAAATTGCACTTAAAGTCAGACATCTCGTGACATATACCAGCTATATATCATGCATAGCGTTCGAACTGATAAACCCGCAAAATTGATTGAACAAAACTATACGTTATGTAATATTAATTTACCTCTATCGGTATATACAGCTGTTTGCAATAATTCTGACCCCCTCTGCCATATTCCATATATATCAAACTGACCTTAAATATTATGGGATATCATGACTGATATATTTTTTAAGTTGCCCAGAATGAGTACTTTCTCAAAAAAATATCAGCATTGGTATCCCATAATTTCTAAGGCTACTTTGATATATATGAATATTAGTGTAGGGGGGTCAGAATTATTGCAAATAGCTGTATATTAAAAAAAAACATTTTTACTTTATATTAATATAGCCCCTAGCTACTATTAACATTCCTAGCTTTTAATCAAAAGAATAATGAAAATTAGCTTGAAGCACAATCCTATTTGTCAGGGTAAATTCGAGGTGTGCGCATCTTTATTCACGTCTGTATTGCCGAAATATGATCCCCCATCGTTTTGCATCTCTGTGTGGAAGCTTTCTTTGACGTYCTTGCAATATAYATTCAACTTCCTCTTTACCATAGTTTTATTTAGCATTGAAAAACAGCTTTAATACAAAATACCAAAAGGACAAAACCTGCATATTATTTCAATAACCAATATGAAAACAAATTAACGAACGCCATCTATAAGTATTTTTATGTTTGTGTGATCATTTCGAGGATTCTCCTCTTTATTTCCATTCATTTCATGATCTTTGAGCATCAAAGAAATCAATTCCATCCCCTGGAGGTGCGCTGGGTGCCAAAGGCGTGTACGCTGGAGGAGAGAGATATTGAGCCGAGCGGGACTGGGAAATATATGATCTTGGTGTGTTATCTTCAGACCGAATGCTAAGGTCTGGTGCAGAGGAGTATAGGCTCCCAAGACGTGATTTGTTAGTAGGAGTAAAATAAGGCTGAGGTACTGCAAGACCACTTACGCTGCGAGGCGATTGACATGAGGGGAAGACACCCGAAACATGTCGATCATGTGACAGTTGCCCATCAATCGACAAGCACCCCTCATGTGACGAATCTGCGGTCGATAAATGTGGTACGTTATATATTACAACTTGAGGGACTGCTGGATTCCCTTGGCTTTGAGTGACAGCTGTTCCGGCTGCGCTCTCGACATTTCTTATCTCCAGGCCGTTGTGGGTAATATTTTGCTGTGTCGTTGCTGTAGACTGAGCACTAGGAACTTCTCCGTCTTTTTTGCTTGATGGGCTGCGTTTGCAGAGTACGCGTCCATTGTAGCATATTCCAGTCAATATAATAACCAGAAGAATTGTTATGGCTAGAATAACAGCTATCTTTTCTGCTGGCGAAAGTGTGTCCAGCCAATGCACATCTGAATTACTGGGAGAAGGACTTGGTGTTAGAAATCTGATGACGTACTTGGGTGATGTCTCCTCTCGTACTGTCAATTGGAATAAGTTTAGATTTCAAATAGAATTGTAACTACATTGAATTATAAATCATTTATAATCATATTAACGATCCATAACTTTTGAATGTATTCAGCGCGCAAAAACTATAAATGCACTTAACGCTTGTCCATCGTTACATCAGTGTTTCCTATATATTGACTATTGGCTGCAACGTACACCAGTTTCAGTAATTTGCACTCATGGGTCGTACAGCTAAGTGATCTAGTTGTTCAGTGTCATAGAAATACAGTTTTACAAGCAGATTATATAAGTCGGCTTTGAATACTCACCTTTAACTCCGAAAGTAACGTTTGAGCAACTACCAGAGTTGAAAAATATGAATCCAATCCACAGATGAATGAAGATATTGACCATTTTACTGAAGAATAAATCTCTTGACGAAGAAGAACTGTAGATGTCAGGAAGGACAATTTTTAAAGACAATTTGGATATTTCATTATGCACTTGGAAGAATGAAGCTTTGAATGAAGAGCGCGGGATCGAGAATTAATGTTCAAAAATCTCAAGGGAAAACACATTTTATTCATTGCGACCCGCGTGCCGAATTCTTAGCTTGCACGCAAGTTGCGCAAGCTTGCGCAAACCCATACTTTTCTTATTTTATGTTAGGATATATCATAAAGCTTTAATTAGGTTGATTATTCGATTCCTTCAGCTTTTCAAATGTGTCAAATTGTGATCTCCCAAAAAATATAGTCAGCGAAGGACTTGGAGATATCATTTTCAGGATTMCTGTGTAATGGCGCACTTCTGAACAGCGGGTATACCCATTAGAAACAAAATGGCGGATGAAGTCGAAGRAAAAGAAGATGAGAAAATTACTTTATTTTCTGATGGAAATCGCGAAGTTTTTGTTTGGAACGCTGAGGATGTTTTTAAGCTTAGATCAAACTATCGTATAATTGGCTCTCTAGTTGGTTCTCTTCCAAGAAAACCCAAACAGAATGTATGTTTGTCTTTGCCATTGCTTTTGTCAGAAGACGAAACAACTTTGCTTTTACAGAAGAACTTAGCACGCCTTGTGRAAAGTCAAACAAATCTTCCATTTCCTTCTCAAGAAGAAGTAAAGGTATTTCATGAACTTAGAGAACAAAGCATTAAGGAACAAATCGAACTTTTTAGTGAAGAAAACAAAGAGAAAGAAAAAGAAATGAGAGATTATATTGAGGACGCAAGGAAAAGGAAGAAACGAAAAGGAAGGAAAAGACGTATGGCAGATAACGAGCATATACTAAAACCAGAGAAATTCCCCAAAACAGAGGATAGTGAAGATCTYTTTCATGATAACATTAGGACACAAGGGAATGTGCTGCCAGATACAATTTCCATTGAACRTGTAGGCAYTACTAAAGCAAACTTTCCAAAAAAAWTTGATGAGAATACTGTTAGAGATGTGRCAMAAAAAGAAAGTCAKKTTTTAACTGCTGATTCACTATGCCCAGAWGACATTCCAACCTCAKTTGACTCTGAAATGACTTCTGCTACAGATAAGAAGTCACACAACACCTCAAAAACTTCAGAAGCACAAGACATAGCTCAAAAAGAAAAARCTTGTGTTATACAAATACCAACAAAAATGCCAACATGCAAAATAAATGATCTACCAATACAACAATGGCATTATCCTACAACAGAACAAGAACAAATTAAGTTCAAAATYTTTAAAGATTTGTGGGAAMAAGGATATTATCTCACTTCAGGCTCAAAGTTTGGTGGTGATTTTCTAGCCTATCCCGGGGATCCTTTCAAATTTCATTCATTTTTTGTCGTCATGGTAATACCACAATCTAAGATGATTGGAATGCTAGATTTGATAGCAATTGGACGATTGGCTGCTACTGTGAAGAAGACGGCTGTGTTAGGTACAGTAGATAGTAATGGCGACGTTGTTTATACATCAATCAAATGGAGTGGAATAAGTTAAGAGGTAATTTTTGAATGGTACATGGATGAGTTTTTATATTGTACAGAGTAGACATACCAAATTTGTGAAATGAATAGTACTTATTTCTACTAAATAGYGTTGACTAGACAATAGAAGACAAAGAAATTAGCTTAAYTTTGTCTAYATTCTTTTGTACTATTAAGTTCACAAATTAATTGCATTCACTCCACTATTGGCACATGATCAATAATATAATATAATAATGTAATTTAAGTCAAARCAGAGACATTGTATGTGTACTCACACATTGTAAGAACACGAAGAATAATGCTCCAAGAATTATGGTCATGGGAATCAGGGTAAAGGTCACTCTTTCCAACATTTTAGTATTTGAATGTATAGTTGTAGTTTGCTCATTCATTGTTATATCAATAACTTCAACACCAAAGTCTCACATTTTTTATTTCAAAAAGTCTCTAAAATCAATAATTATATATAAAAGTCTGTAATCATAATGAAAGTAATAATAATCATAATGAAAGTAATAATAATCATAATGAAAGTAATAATATTTATTTGATACTATTTATTCAAGTAAACAGAGAATATATACTTTTATTCAATTTTGTACACAAATATATTATAATTCTTTCCTATTCAACATATTTGCAATTATATTTCCAATAAAATATAATCAATGTGTTATAATACAAAAATATACTCTTTAGTTAATGTTAATTACTCTGATAATAAGCTTGCATCTGTGACAGAGTTATCTTTTTCATTCTTGTCAATGCCCATCAGTTTCCTTTCAACCTTAGAGAAAAAAAAACAACCAGTTCTACAAAATATATTTTATTTTAGTAAAGACCATCAGTCAGATACAGAAGAGTAACCTTACAAGTAGTTTGTTAGGCACAGATTTAAGCAATCCTGATAATATTAGCACTAAGCAATGTAGCAAAAAAGCCAAGTCAAAAAAACACTAAAATAGTTGCTACATGTAGATAGTGTCCCAAAGCACTATATAAACATCACACATTGATTTTGGTTCATGGTTTAAATATTTCCATACTGCAACTAATGATCTTTCTTACCTCATCATGGTTCCCTCCAAACACTTCTTGGTAAATTAATACAAATGTTTCAGGCAAAAGAACTTTGGACAGGTAATCAATGTACTAAAAATGACAAAGTACATCATTGTTACCTTGACCACATGAGAATTACATGTGACTAGCAAAAAATTCCCAGATTTCCACACTTGATTGTATGGTGTATTTCCCTGTTACAATTTATAATATTTTACATAGAAGTTGTTGCAGTTCTAATTACCTTATTATGCCTAGCACAAAAGATGGACATCAGTTCTTGCATGATGGTGTCATGTTGATCCTCGGAGTATAATCCAAATCTTACTTGAAATGCCAAATCACCTGAAAGATTAACACCAGATGTTGATGGATTAGGGCAGGGACATAAGTCTCACCCGCCATTGTCA